ATCTTTTACTTATCAAAAAAAAGATTTAATTGAACTATATAATTTTTATACAGAATTTAGTTCAAATCAAACCATTATAATTTGAAGAAGCTTACGAATTAAACAACAGAAAAAACCTATTTATAATTATAAATGAAAATATAACAAACAAAAGTTTTATAAAAATTGGTTAACTAATCATTATTTTTATTATTGTGATAGTTGTGATTTTATTTATAAACGAAATTATTGTAAACAATGTAAACGAAAACTTTATTCTGAAGAAGATTTTGATAATGATGATGATATCATAACCGAATCAACTATTTCTGAAAGATTTTTAGATTATAATACTGATGATAGTTTTGTTGTTCAAGATAATGAAAAAAATTATTTTTGTATTGATTGTAAACAATATTATTATTCAGAATTTTATACATATAATAGCAAATATATATTTAGTCAAAGTAGATTTATTAATAATGATAATAAAGTTATATTTAAAGATAATATCTAATCAGTCTTCTATTACTGATTAGATTTTTAAATACGTAATTACAAATTAAAAAAAATGGAATATGAAATAGCTTTGAAAGAATATACTGAAATTTTAGCTCTTAATAGAATTTATTTTACTTTTTTGAATATCCTAAATTTAATTTCTCAATATAGATTTACTATCGATTATACAAAAACAAAAACTGAAATCGAAAGTCAAATTTCTATTAATACAAATATTTTACAAAAAAAAAAAAAAATCATTGATAAATATGAAAATGAACGTAGAGAATTTTCTATTTGTATTTTTAGTTAATTCTGATAAAAAAGTTTGGCTTAGTAGAAGAAATAATATTGATAAGGATTATTATGATCATTATCAAGTTGTTGGAAGAAAAAAGAAAAAGATGAATCATTTGACCAATGTGCAATTCGTGAAGCTAGAGAAGAAGCAAATATTTCTATTGAAGAATTAGATTTAATTATCATCAAAAATAGATTTCATAAATTTCTTGATGAAAAAGAATGTTTAGTTTGAACTTTTATTTATTTTTCTATTACTAATCAGATACCTGAAAATACTGAATCTAAAAATCATAATGCGTGGTTTCTTTGTGATTTAAAGAATCTTAAGAAGTATAATTTAACTGATAGTTTTAAAAAATAATTTAGACAAAATTATTGAAATGATTTTAAAAAAATATAATAGTTTAAATCGTAAAAGAAAAAGAGTCAAAGTAGAAGATAATAATTCTTCAACTAGTGAAGAATTAAATATTATTGTTAATGATGAGAAAGAATTAGTTGAAAATGAAGAGATTAATAACTATGAAAGACATAGTAATTAGAATTTAAGAGAAAGAAAATAATTTAAATTTTTATTTATTTTTTATTTTTATTATTCTTATTAATAAAATATAATCTAACCAGTTTATAACCAGTTAGAAATTTAATTATGTAATTATGAAGATTAATATAACGATCGATGAACTGACATCAATGGGAAAAACTACTATTGGACGATTGCTTGCATCAAACTTAAATTATCAATTTATTGATAGTGGAATATTCTATCAATATTTAGTATCAAAAATAGCAAGTCAAGATAAACAAGAATTATTATCTTTATTACAACAAGAAAATATTAAACATATATTTCAACTTAATGAATCAGTATTTTCTGAAAATTATATTAAAAATAGTTCAAGAGCTAGTTTAATTGCTAGAAACAGCAATATATGAAAAGAAATTAATAAGTTAATTTATGAAAATACTAAAAAAAAAGGATATATTATATCTGGTCGTGATTCTGCAACAAATATTATTCCTGATGCTGAATTAAAAATTTTATTAATAGCTGATTTTGAAACACGCATTCAAAAAAGGATTAATCAATTAAAAAGTGATAATCATAATACTATTCAATTAGATATAATTAAACAAGATACTTTATCAATTGAATTTATTAAAGAGATTATAAAACTCTTAACAATTTTTATTATTGATACAACATATCTTTCTATAGAAGAAGTTATTGATAAAATTTTATTAAAAACTTCAAATATGATTAGTGAAATTTATTTTTTAAAAAATATTTTATTAATTTCTTTTGTGTTATTTTTTTTTACAATTTTCTATTCAGTCTATTTATGACCGAATAGAATTTTATTAGCATAAACAAAAATAGATAATAAAATAGATGAAGAAAATATCAAAAAAACTTCGAAACTAGTGAGTAAAATTATTTAACTATAAGTTTGGAAGTTACGCTACTCTAGAAAAAAATAGATATATTCTGAATATGTTAATAAACATTGAGGATATATTTTAATTTTTTTGAAAGATATTTGGTATCTATAACAGATGGCGCTGAGTTGAATATATCAACAGTGATATTTGAATATTTGGGTGAATAAAAAACTTTTGTTAACATTTTTCAGTCTAATTATTTAATAGGTCATAATTTCGAAAAACTTCTTGCGAAATCTTTAAATGAAATTGGATTAGTAACAAATATAATTGCTTATAATCCTGGTGACTTTTGAATAGATATAATTGCAACTCTAAACAAACAAATATTTTTAATTCAATGTAAAAATATTGTAAAATCTCTTGATCTTCAAGATTTACAGAAAATCGAATCGGCTTTTAAAAGATTCGGAGAAGAAATAGGAATTATTATTTATAATAGTGAAAAATTACAAAAACTATTAACTAAACAAGCTAAAATTTGATGAAAAAGTTGTTGTCCTGAGATTAAAATTTTAAACAAAAACGAAGCACTTAGTTATTTTAAAAATATACAAAACAAAAAGAAAGAAACAAAAATGATTGAATATATAAATCTAGAAGCTGAAGAATATTCTATTGATAATATTAAGATGAGGGGATTTAAAGCTAAAAAATGTATTATTCTAATCCTTATTAAAATATTTAGTGAATTTCACCGAATATAATTTTATTTACGTAATTAAAATAGGTATTAAAAATTTGAAACCAAACTCTAAAATTATTGTTGTTTTTGGTTCAATTGCTGTTGAGAAAACAACTTTTTTAAATAAATTAAAAATTTTTTTTGAAAACGAAGGATTGAATGTTTATCTTCCTGAAAAAATGTCTCTTCGTATTAGAAAAGATTTAGAGTATTTTTATCAAGATACCCAAAGATACGGATTTATGTTTCAAGATCTCTTAATTGATGCATATCAGAAAGAGAATGAAATAATCAAAAAAGATGAATATGATATCTATTTAATCGATAGAACTGCCAGAGATACTAAGATTTTTTCTAAAATTCTTATTGATGATAAGTTAAAACTTGATTATTTTAAAAAGAAATTGAAAAGAGAAGAAAAAATTGATGCTAAATATAATTTTTTTATCAAATGTTCTCCTGAAATCTGTTATGAACGAAAAAGTAAAAGAGATAGAAAAGGTAAAAAAGGTTTGTTAAAATATCTAAAAACTCTTTGTGAGGGTTATGAAAAGAATGCTTCTAAATTATATCCTAAACATATAGTTTTTAATACTGATGAAGCTAAAATAGAAGAATATAATACATTTTTCTAGCAATTATTTATCTAACTAGTTTTTAACAGGTTAGATAATTAATTGTATAAATTAAAATGTATACACATATCTTTTGTCAAGAGCTGCAACTATTACAGAAAAATTTTTTATACAATATTGAGTGTGATTATACACTCTTTCATTGGTTTCAAAAAAAATACAAAGGAACTTTAAGTTTAATTACTGAATTTAATTATTTTTTGAAAAAATCAAAACAGAAGAACATGTGATTAAATTTTTATCTATTTGTAAAAAAATAGTTAAAGAAATGCATTATCAAGAACAATATAATTATAGTATTATTAATAAATAATATTCAGTTATAATTAACCGAATATTTTTTTTTGTATATAAAAATATCTCGAAAAGATTTAATAAATTTTTATAATAATAAAATACCAAATTTATTTTTTGTTTATGAAGCTGTTGATGCTTCTAATTATAAAAATTATTTATTACATTTATTCTCCGTTTGTATAAATAGAGAAAAAATAACTATAAACATTGTTGTAAAAGATATATTTTTTGATATTAAATTAAAAAGTAAAAGTGAAGAATTAATTAATTCATATATTGACGAATTTAACCCAGATTCTTTCAAAATTATTGAAAAACAACCATTTGATTCTATAAAAAAATATAATTTTATTCATTTATATTTCAAAATCTATAAAGAACAAAAAGAAGCATTGCAAAGTCTAAAAGATAAACTTGATAAACTAAACGAATTAAAAGAACAATCATATTTAAAAGAAAAAGAAAAAAAAATTATACAAGAGATTGAAAATTTTTAGAAATGATATGATACATATTTAGATGATTTATCATATTATTATCGAAAAATTGCTTGAGAGAATGATTTTGAACTTGTTGGTTGGTATCAACTAAAAGATGGAAGAATATTTAATAATATGTTGATAACCTTAAATAATATTGAAAAGGTTGATTCGAAAGAAATACCTAAATTAATTATAGTAGTATGGGATACAGAATAGGGTAGCCAACGTGGTCTTGGATATTTCTCAGAAGATAATGAAAAATTAGATTACATATATATGATTCAATTTGATATATTTTTTTATAATAATCCTAAACTACTTAAAAGATATAATATCACAACATTACCGATAAATACAACACTTTTTTTCAAAATATACAGAAAAAATTTCATGTGATATTGAAGATTTTATTTTTGTTAAAATAGAAACAGAAAAAGAGTTATTATTAAAATTTGCAGAATTATACTATAGATTTAATAGAGATATTGAAATTGGTTATAATACGAGAGGTTTTGATTGGCCAAATATATTAAAAAAAGTAGAATTACTAGGAATTGGAGACGTATTTGTCAAAAAGTTTTTAGATAAGAAATCTAAATTAATTTCAAACATATATGAAAAGGATATTCAAGTTGTTAATAAAGATTTGGATAAGGAGAATGCAAAGTATAAATTTGCAAGCTTTAATATTATAAACAAAGAGATAAAAGTTAATCTAATAGAAAATACAAAATGTGAATATTTTTATAAACAGGATACAATATTTCTAGATCTATTAATCTGGGCTAAAAAAATATTTCAACAAGAACTTAAACATATATTAGATTTTATTTTAAAAAAATGTAGGTTAGAAGGAAAGGCTAATCTACCATATCTACTAGAAAATTATGATAATTTATATTCTATGTATGTTTATATTACAGCAATCAAACATTTTTTCGATTCAGATTTTTTAAAAGAATCGGCAAAAAAATTATCATTAAAATATAATATTGAATATCAAATATGTTTAGATTCTTTATTAAATATTTCATTTGAAAATTTAGATGAATATGGAGTCAAAATTGCTTACTATTGTTTGATTGATACTCTACAACTACAAGAACTTTTAATTAAATGAAATATAATTAGAGATTATATTCAATTAGCAGCCTTATCATGTGTTTCTGTTTCAAATGTATTTTTAAATAGAGTAGAAATATTAGTTTTAAATACTTTTAAAAGATATGCTACAAGAACTGATAAGTTATTATCAACAACTTATAAAGAAATAATCAAAGTTAAAAATAAATACGAGAGAGCACTGGTATTAGAGATTAATAATAAAAATATTACAGAACCAGTGGCAGATTTAGACGTTAATTCATTTTATTCAAATATTATAATCCAAATGAATATATATTTATCAATATTAGTAACAGATAAATCTGAGGATACATTATACATTGTTCAAGATAATAAAATAATCTATGAAAAATTTAAACCACATGATAATGATAAAAAAAAAATGGGAATAATGCTATTAATGTGTAAAAAATTATTAGAAGATCGAGCAATTGCAAAGAAAAAATAAAAAAATTTAAAGAAGATAAAATTTTATTAGCATATTGAATATCATTATCTAATGCGTTAAAAACCGTGGCAAATGCTACATATAGATATAGTAGCTCTAGATTTTTTCTATTATATATAAAACTTGTAGCTGCATCTGTAACTGCTTTTTGTCATTCTATACTTAAGGAGATTATAAAATATTTGAAAAGTTTAGGTTATATGATAATTTATGAAGATACTGATTCGATATTTTATATAATACCGATTGTTTATTTAAAAGAATTAACATGTAAAAAAGAAAAAATTGAACGAACAATAAAAATCTCTTTAAAACTTGAAAAACAAGTTAATGAATTCTTAATCTCAAAAGGAAAAATTTTCATCTGAATATCCTATGAAAAAACTTTATATCTATGTGTTTTTTTTTAAAAAAAAACACTATTGTGGTTGTGTATATAAAAAAAAACAGAACTTAAACAACCAAAATTATTTTTAAAAAGATTAAAAGTAAAAAAAACAAAATACATCAGAATTTAATAAACAAATTGGAAAAGAAACGATTTGTAGGATATTAGGATTTAATGAAGAAAAAAAATTAACTAATAATACTCAAGATTCTAAACAGGTTATTTTAGATGTTATTAAAAAATATATTTAAATGATACATGATATTAACTTATTGTCACAGCTGATGCTGAAAATGGCTGAAGCTAAAATTTGGGGTCTTGATTTAAAAATATAAACCTGTTAAAATCCACATATACTTGTTAATTATCAATTCTAACCCTAAACACTAACTCAACTATAAAAAAAAAGCGGGGAAAAAACACCTCAAAAAATTTTAAAAAATTCATATCAAAATAGATCCGAATTTCAGCATCAGCCATTTTCAGCATCAGCTGCGACACTTATTTATACTAAATACGAATTATAAATTAACTACTAATATTAGAGCACGAGATTTTATTATTGAGAAAAATAACAAAAAAGAAATTAATCTAAGTAAAATGAAACAAAAAGCAAAAACAAAAGGAGGAAATATAATGATACTTGATTTTGTTCAAAAAAGAATTGATAATAGTAAATCAATATCACCGAGAAGATTTTTTTATTATGTTTTAGATCTTGACTATAAAAATATAAGGTATAAAATTTGCTTAGTTAATAAATTCGATCCCAACAAACATAAGATAGATTTACTTTATTATCTAAAAAGTTTAAAGGATTTATGTGAAAGTTTTTTTTTATGTAAAAAAAAAGAAGCTAAAAAAATAATAATTTCTTTGTATAAAGAAATTACTGATAAATTAAAGCAAACCAGGATAGATAATAATTTAAATATAAATTCAATAGTAAAAAAAAAAAATAATAATTATTATTTTAAACAAAAAAAAGAAAAAAAACAAGAACCAAGAAAAAAAGTAAAAATAGATAGTAAAATCACAGATTTTTTCCTGAAAAATAACTAATTAGCATATAAATACCAATTAGTTTATTAATTAATTAAATTTAAAAATAGAAAAAACAAATATTAATCAATTATCAGATGAAATATTTTGTAAAAAATTTTTTTATCTAATATCTGAGAAGATAACTTTCTTAGAAAGAGGCTTCATTCAGTTAAAATATGTTTCTAAACATTTTTATGTGCATTATCATGAAGTTTTTAAAAAAATATTTTAAAAAAAAATATATAAAATACGAATTGGTTAAACAATATAATCCTTATACACATTCTCCTCCAGAAACAGTACTATGGAAACTACATTATACTAAAAAAAATATTTGGGTTGATTTTGAATTTGAAGGAAAATCATACTATTGTCATTTACAACAAAATACAAAAAAAGAATTTTTTCTTGATATACAAAGAATTGGTGGTAAATACCTTAATTTTATTACACAAAAAGATAAGAAAAAATATATAAAAACTTGTAAAAAATGTGGAGCTGAAACATATTGTGCTAGTTACGATTTTTGTTCTCTTCAAAATTCTTCTTTTGATATTTAATTACAAAGTTTAAATAGTGGTTATTATATTTGGAGAGAATATGTTCAATATTTTGATATTCAATTATGCTATTTTTGTAGCATATTACTTAAACAAGAATCATATTTTGAATCATCACAAACAATTTTATATATTTAGTTTTAAAAGTTATAAATATAAGTATTTTTTATTTAACTCGATTTATATTTAAAATGGAAAGTTATTTTATTTTTGATTCCAATATTATTTCTATAAATAAATATATTGAAATAAATAATTATTTAAACAATATTATCAAACTACAAAACAAATTATAAATTATCTTCAAACAAAAACATTTAATTCGGAAGAATTTAATCAATTACTAAACTTGGTTAAAAGAATAAACAAATGTAAAGAATTCAGTTCTAACATAAAATATGAATACATGTTTAATATTGAATTTATAGATAAATTTATAATTTTTACTAAGACTATAACTGAAAATAAAAAAACTTTATTTATAAAAGAACATGTATTTTATTCTAGTTAGTCTTTTTAGACATTCTAGATTTTTTTTGGTATAAAAAAATGGATCAAGAAATAAAAACTCTAATTTTTTTAATTTATAATCTTGTCAGTAGTTCATTTACTGATAACATTAACAAGGCAGGATGCTTATTAACAGAAAACAATTTACTATCTAAAGAAGAAAAAGAAGTTTTTCTACGAAATTTCACTATGTATATTCTGGTTTTTACAAATAAAAATAATTATTTAATTTCATTTTTTAAATATCTAAATATCATTAATGATATTATAAATATTATTAAAAATTCAAATAACAAGAAACAATTAGCTAATTGTTTAGACTTGTTATATGAAACACATGTTTCAGAATTTACTGAAGAAAATTTAGAAGAATTTGATAATTAGTTATTTTATTTTTATTGAATAAATATTTTTTTTTTACAAAAATCACAAAGCGATTTTTCTATTTGATCTTAGTCTAAAGTAGCTTTGAGAGAATCGTCTTGCAATACCAAGCCACAGCTAAAAGCCAACGGCTGGTAGCAGCGCAGACTATTAAATCTTATATTAGCTAGTTAGTCTTTTTTAGACCAACTAGATTTTTAGATAATTAATTTAATTTATTATGTCAAATTGAAAAAATATATTTTTAATCTTTGAACCAGCTTTAAACTGAGAAAGACCAACAAATTCTTCTAATCAAAAATTAAAATTAAATAAATATCGAACTGTTTTAATTAATAATAAACTTTATTATGAAGTTAAAATACAAAAGTCTGAAATTACTTTTCTTATAGATATTAAACATTTTAATTTATTACAAACTTATACTTGGTATTGTAATAAAAACAAATCTAATAATATATATTATATTTAAACAACAACTAATAATTTATTACACCAAATAATACATTCTGAATGGAAGATAATTGATCATATTAATCGTTGTGGATTAGATAATCATAAAGAGAATTTATGTAAAACAACAGTAAAAGAAAATGTATTAAATTGTAAATTATTAAAAAGAAATACTTCTAATTATAATGGAATTAGTTTTCGAAAAAAAAGAAATCTTTGAAAATTTCAATGAACTGAAAATAACAAACATAAAGTTAAAGAATTTAAAATTACAAAAAATAGAACCAATGATCAAGCAAAGCAGCTTTATATTAATTTTAAATTAGCACATAATAAAATTACTAGTAATAAAAATAGATATTCTGTTTAATTAAATTTTGTATAATTTATATTCTTCCAGAAACTATTAACCAAGCAATAAACTTTGGTAAAATAATAAAAGTAAATATATATGAGCAGAAAAAGAAGAAAATAAACCACCAAAATACTTTACAATAAAAGTTACAACAACAATTTCTACAAAAGTGCCTAATGTTTTTAACTATAAATTTTAAAAATTTATAAAAATAAATAAATATTAATAAAATAAATAACCAATTCTAGTTAAACTAATCCAAATTCCCAATAAAATAGTTAATGTTAAATTTTTAAATATATGTATTATTGTATTTAAAGTTAAAATAAAAAAAAGTATTTCAAAAAAATAAAGAATAAATCTTTCGTTTGAAAGTGTACAAACAATATTTGTTTCTTGAATATAGCAACAAGTATTCTAAAAATAATAAGTATGAAAACTTTCAAGAATAAGTTTACACCATAGCACTATTTTCTAAATATATAATTTATCAGTTTTTTTTATTGATAAAAATTTTTCAAGTTCATTTTTGAATAATAAAAAATAATTAATTAAAGTTGAAAGGTTTTTAATTTCAGTTTGAAGTTTATATTTAGAAATATCAATTGATGTTGTTGCATTATTTTTTTTAAATTCTTTATTTCTATTAAAAGTTGTTCATTTGTAAGACTTAAATCTTTATTTTCTATTTGCAATTGTGTATAATTAGAGTTTTGATAAGCTAAAAGTTGACTTCTTAGTTCTTCAATTTCATCTTGTAGTTCTCTATTAATATTTGTTAAGTTATTATTTTCAATTTTAAGGTCATTGTTTATTTTATTCAGATTAATTAATCTTTCTGATAAAGAAGTTGTCATCATTTTTATTTATTAAAAAAAAGTAAAGAATAAAAACAATATTTATATAAAAAATGAAAAATAAAATTTATAAAAAAAACAGATAAATTTAAAAATCTAATAATAAAATCTATAATACCAATCATTATTTTATCAAAGTTATATAAGATTTGTTCTTTCATTTCATCAAGAATATAATCGATAAATTTTTCTCTGTATTTTTCAATAAGTTTTTGATTTTTATCAATAAGTTCTTTAACCTGAATATTTGTAAGTTTACTAACTAATTCTTTTATTTTATCAAATACAATTGATTGCTTTTTTATTTCTAGTTTATCACAAACAGTATCTTTTGATAAAGGATTTTTAATATGTTCTTTTAAATATAGTTCGATTTTATTTTCTTTGAATTCATTTTTACAAATTGGACAACTGATAAAATTAATCATTGGAGTTGATAAAGTTGTTGTTATAGGTGTTGGTTTTACAAAAGAAGGTTTAATAGTTGTTGTTGCTGAAGTTGTTGGTTTACTTGTTGTTTCTGTTGTTAAAATTTTTGGAAAATTAGTTGGTCTTGGTAGAGGTATATTAATTGTTGTTGTAGGTGTATTAATAGATATAGTAGATAGAGTATTAATTGTTGTTGTAGGTGGTTGTCTATTATTATCATCTTCAGGTAGAGGAATTGGTGTTGGATTTTGGTTATCTGTATTTTTTCTAAAATATTAATTAATTAAATAATTAAAAAAAACATAAATAATAAACTATTTACTTTTTCTTTCTTTGTTTTTCATCTTGTTTATCAAGTTTTCATTTTAAATCTGCAATTTGATCTCTTAATCTTGTAATAGCCAAAGCAGAATTTTGATTAAGATCAATCCATCTATATGTTTGATTAAATTCTAATACTGTAGCACAGAGTCCTCTTAAATGACCATCTTTATGTGAAGGAGCAAAAGCAGCTCCAAGATTATATCTAGATGTTTCATCAACATCACTTATATATTTTAAATATCTTAATGATTCATTAGTATCTAATACAGTTATAAACCAGAAGAATCCTGTATTAAATTGAACAAATGTACTTCCTTGTATATTAAATTGTCAAGTAATATATCATTGTTTTTCTATCTTCCATTTAAAACAAAATATTTTTTCATAATCATATTTTGAACATTCTATTTGTTCAATTTGTTCATGTACAATATTATAATTTCGTTTAATTGGACTATTAATTAAATTATTAATATCTTCAAATATATTTTCTATTGGTAAGTGACTTATTTGGTACTGTTGCTTGACTAATAGGTAATTCGCAACTAGTTTCTACTTGAAGAATTAATGCTCTAATATTAAAAGTTTTTTTAATTAGATTAATTGTATATGTATCATCAACATCTTAACCTTCTTATACTTGAGCTAATAGAAATATATATTTTGAAAATCCTGTACTATCACCAGAGGATTGAGTTAAATCAACTGTTAAATTTCTATAACCAAAGATATTTAATCTTAAAATTTGATAAAAATCTAACATAAATTTACTTGTTATATTATTATTGAAATTTATATCTTGAAACATTAAAGAAGATGCATAATAAAGTTAAGGCCATCTGAGTAAAGTACCTTGTATATTTGATGTTAATGCAGGTATCGCAATATTAACTTTATTACTTCTTTTTTGAATAAATGAATTATATTTTGCTTGTTTAGCTAAATAAGTTTTTACTCCACAGATATTTTCAAGTTCGGTTAATTCTTCATCTATTGTTGAACAAAAACTTACTTGTGATCTAGCCATTTTATTCTAATCCTATTGTAAAAATATTTTTATTCATAGCAGAAAAGCAACAGGTACAACTTGAACTACAGGGTCCTGGTTCGCTAGTATAGCAATACCTGCAACTATTATTATATTTTTTATTTTTTTCTATTATATTTTTTTTAATTATTGGTATTGCTATTTTTGTTGTTTTGGTTGTCTTTTTTCTAGGTTTTGTTTTTTTTGTTGTTGTTGGTTTAGTTATTTTTTTAGTTGTTTTTTTTTTAGATTTAGTAACCGTTTTTCTTTTCATTTAATTGGAGCTACTTTTATTGATATTGCTCAACAAATTGAATAAAAAAAGTAATAGCTTTTGTGATTACAGTTGATAAAATTTGTTTGAGACCTAAGATTGAAATAAATTCAAAAATTTCTTTATAAAAATGTGCAGTACCAAAGATTATTATAAATAAAACAATGATAATTTCTAATAAAATTATAATGAATAAAAAATTATATAGATTTGATTTATCCATACAGAACAGAAAAAAATTCCTAATGGTTCTATTTATATTTTTTTGTATAAATAGTTGAGTTCTACGTTTGAGATTAGTAGTTAAAAATGCGAGTTTATTTTTTTGTTTTATTTTTGTTAATATTATTAACAATTGGTGAAACAAGAATACCAAGATATATTAAAAGTGAAAGACCACAAAAAAAATATATTTGAAACTGTGGATGCAAATTATAAAATCTTTTATTATAGGGTGTGGCGACTTAGTGAAGTGGTGAAGTTGTCGCACCCCCAAGCAGTTGAGTACAAGTTCAATTCCCACTAG